TAGTAGTAGTAGTAGTAGTAGTAGTAGTAGTAGTCGTAGTCGTTGTAGTAGTAGTAGTCGTAGTATTCGTAGTAGTAGTAGTAGCAGAAGTAGTAGTAGTAGTAGTAGTAGTAGTAGTAGTAGTAGTAGAAGTATTTGTAGTAGTAGTAGTCGTAGTAGTCGTCGTAGTAGTAGTAGTAGTAGTAGTAGTAGTAGTAGTCGTAGTAGTAGTAATGGTAGTAGTCGTAGTAGTAGTAGTAGTAGTAGTAGTAGTAGTAGTAGTAGAAGAAGAAGTAGTAGTAGTAGTAGTAGTAGTAGTAGTAGTCGTAGTAGTCGTAGTAGTCGTAGTAGTCGTCGTAGTCGTAGTAGTCGTGGTAGTAGTAGCAGTAGTAATAGTCGTAGTAGTAGGATTAGTAGTAGCAGTAGTGGATCCTTCTTCCCCGGTGCACAGAGCGTTTTTCAATAGAAGGCTCTCCTCGGGGCTTGCACCTGGTTCTTTATCAGGGGAAGTCTGCGGACTCGAATTGCGTAGTTGGGCCACGATCTACAATAGCAACGGCTCCCGTCTGATACATCAACACACTTTTTTCCCCTCCTAAATCGCGCTCTGGCGCGGGACGTCCTCACAATCTATACAAGAATCGCGCTCTCGGGTGGGGCTTCTTTGCAATTCATCCAGACGCCGCGCCCTCGACACGTCGGAACTACGCTCTCGCTTTGGCGTTTCTCACGATTTACTTGGGAATCGCGCTATCGATCGAGAGTTCCTGGCGATTCATGCATGAGTCACGCTTCAGCAATCCACCTTCTCGACCTTGCCGCCTGGGCCCGCCTTATGACCCGCCCGCTAGGGTCTATCGGCCCGATCTGCTCGTTTGGTTCTGCCACGTGTTTTCTGCTCCTGGCTCCCCTCCTGCTAATCTCTCTCGTGCGTCGTCCTTCTCCCTCTCCCTTCCATCCGTCCTCTCTTGCCCCGTTCAAAGGGCTGCGCTAAATGCACGTGGCAGGTACGGAAGATACACCCCCAAGGCGTTACGATCGCAGACGAACAGGGCGAATAATTACCGACGGTTTGGGATATACGTGTTGTCTGGTACGCAAGCAGATAGGGGCGAACTGACTTAAAACGATTGTTGTTGTTGTTGCTGCTGCTGCTGTTGTTATTGTTGTTGTTGTCGTTGTTGTTGGTGTTGTTGTTATTGTTGTTGTTGTTGCTATTGAAGTTGTTGTGCGTGTGTACGTGTACGTTTGGTTGTGGGCCCCATCTTCTTAGAGGCTAACCGCAGGCACCTATGGTTTGCTCGGGTGCAGTTTCTCCGCCCCGTCGCCGTGCGCGAAGCCGCGGTCGCCAAATCATGTGTGCGTGTGTGTTTGGTTGTTGTCGTTATTGTTGTTGTTGATGTTGTTGTTGTTGGTGTTGCTGTTGCTGTTGCTGTTGCTGTTGTTGTTGTTGTTGTTGTCGTTGTCGTTGTCGTTGTCGTGGGCGTGGTCGTTGTCGTTGTTGTTGTTGTTGCTGCTGTTGCTGTTGCTGTTGCTGTTGCTGTTGTTGTTGTTGTTGTTGTTGCTGCGGTTGCTGTTGTGTTATGGTTGTTGTGGTTTGTGTTGTTGTTGAATACTCATGTCTACAGGATAATTCTTGTTGATCTGCGGAAGCGGTTTCGCGCGCTCTCGATTTGACGCAGGCTAGATTCTCTCTGAAAACGAGGCTCCCGCTCGAGCGTCAGCTACGACAACAACGGCTCCCGCTCGATATTTCTTCACAATTTACCCCGAGACACCCTGGCCAGAGAGGCCCCCGAACTCAGGAACGGCGCTCTCGCGTGAGACTTCCTCGCATTTCAATGAAGTTGGCGGAGGCCAAGCCACGACGACAAGGGCTCCTGCTCGATACTTCCTCACGATTTACTCCGAGAGCCCCTGGCTAAGGGGGCCCCCGAACTCAGGAACGGCGCTCTCGCTCGAGACTTTCCAGTAATTCAGGTAATTTGGTGGAGGCGACAAAGGGCCCCCGTTCGATATATATATTTATATTATATTATATTTTATTGTATTATATTATATTATAGTATATTATATTACGTTATGTTATGTTATGTTATGTTATGTTATATTATATTTTATTATATTATATTATATTATATTATGTTATATCATATTATATTGAATTATATCACATTATATTATATTATATGATATTATATTATATCATATAATATAATATATTATATTATATGATATTGTATGATAATATCTTATATTATATCGGATTATCTTATATTATAATCTATTATATTAAATTATATCATATTGTATTATAGTATATTATATTATCTATTATACTATTTCATATCATATTATATTGTATTATAATATGTTATATTATATTATATTGTATTATATTATACTACAATATAGTATATTATATCATATTATATAGTATTTTATCATATTATATTATATTATATCACATTATATTATACTATATTATAATAGGTTATATCATATTGTATTATAGTATAGTATATTATATTATATTATATTATATTATATTATATCATATCATATTTTATTATATTATATTATATTCTATCATAGTATAATATATTATATTATATTATATCATATTATATTATAATATATTATTTATATTATATTATATTATATTATATTATATTATGTTATATTATACTATATTGTATTATATTATATGATAATATATTATTTTATATCATATCATATCATATCATATCACATCATATTATATTATATTATATTATAACATATTATATTATATCATATTATATTATATATGTATCTCCATAGAGATTCCGAGAGCCCCTGGCCAGGGAGGCCCCCCGAACTCAGGAACCGCATTCTCGCTCGATACTTCTTCGCACTTCAGTCAGTGGCCGACAAGGAAGAGAGTCCCCCCCGAAAGGGGGTACAATCGAAGACAAAGTGGGCGGGTATCGAGGGTCGGGGTATACGGAATGCAAGACACGCGTGCCAGTAAGAGCGAGCAGTCTTAAAATGACTGTTGTCGTTGTGTTTTGTTGCGTTGTGTTGTGTTGTGTTGTGTTGTGTGTGTTTGTTGTTTTGCTGGCTTGTTGTTGCCTGGTGCTTCGCGTCGTCACGTCGCCGCTGGCAAGGGAGCGCTTTTCCTGTGACTGGCGCCGCGGGCCAGGGCCTGGGGACGGGCTCGCGCTCCGGTGCCGCTGTCCTGAGTGGGTCGCCGTGGTAGTTTGCTCCCTGGAGGGCTGCGCCCTCCTCCCCGTCCTCCTCCTCCTCGTCCTTCTCCTCTTCGTCCTCCTCCTCCTCCTCCCTCTTTCTCCTCCTCCTCCTGCCTTGAGGGCCTTGTGTTTTTCCCAGGCGACCACGGGAATTACGGCCAGGGGGCAGGGGAGTCGGGAGGGAAGGGGGCCGGTGACGTCCCGATTCGCGCCAGCACCGTCTGGGAATTACCTACCCCGAGCCATTCCAAAACAGCGTCGGCGCGAACCGTGACGTTGCCAGGTTGGTGGGGGGGAGGGAAGGGGGAGCGTGGCAGGTAACGGTCGTTCTCGCGAATCGTAGAAAACGCGCTCCTTCTGCTTTCTGCTACTCCAGAGCCTTTTTGGCTCAAGGGGGCACATTGGCAAGGAGGCCTCCCAAGTGCTATCACGACCGACAGGGAGCGCCTTCTCTTCTCCGCGTCGTCGGCATGGCTGGCTTCATGGCTACCCCGATGGGAGGAGCTCCACAACCGTCCAATAGCATATACATCGACGGCATGCCAGCTGAGATGGACGAGTCGCAGGTGAAGATCACCTTCGAGCCCTATGGTACCCTCAAGGTAGCCAAGCGCATCAACCAGACACTGTGGATGCTAACGTTCGAGACCATGGAGGACGCCCAGTGGCTTGTGGAGAATCTGAACGAGAACATTCCACAGGGCATGTCTGTCGTGGTGAAGGTGCGCTATGCCCAGCTGGGCCCCGCGCAGCCGCAGGGCATGGGTTTTGCGGCCGCCGCGGCGGGCGGAGGAGGAGGAGGAGGAGGAGGCTTCCGGGCAACCCCCTACGGCGGTGCCTCTGCTGGGCAGGGCATGGGCATGGGCATGGGCATGGGCATGGGCAAGGGCATGGGCAAGGGCATGGGCAAGGGCGGCTTCGGCGGCGCCGACATCATCGCGGTCAAGCGGGGCATCGTGAACTCCAACATCCTGCCTGGCGGCAGGTGGAAGAACGACGACAAGACCGTCATGGTCAAGAACCTGCCCCCGAACACGTCCGACAAGGACATATACGACCTGTTCTGCCCGTTCGGCGCCATCTACGGGGAGGGCGTCCGCGCGCTGTTGAATAACGAGACGGGCACCTGCAAGGGCACGGCCTTCGTCAACTACCTGAACAAGGAGTCCTCTCTGGCGGCCGTCCAGACCCTGAACGGGTACATGATGCCCCATGGGACGCAGCTCTCGGTGATGCTCGCGGAGACGGGGGACGCCAGGCAGGGGGGCGGCATGAAGGGCGACTGGAACTGCCCCAGCTGCGGCGACCTGAACTTCGCGCGGAACAAGGTGTGCCGCAAGTGCGGGACGGCGAACCCAGACCCGACGGAGTTCCAGGGAACGTTCACCCCGGGGCCCGGAGACTGGACCTGCCCGAGCTGCGGCGACTTCAACTTCGTGCGCAACGCCTCGTGCAGGAAGTGCGGCACCCCGAACCCGGACCCCAGCGCGGCGCAGACGTCCGGGTTCGCCAAGCAGAGCATGCCAGGCGACTGGAACTGCCCTGGCTGCGGGGACCTGAACTTTGCACGCAACGCCTCCTGCCGCAAGTGCGGGACCGCGAACCCGAGCCCCACGGGAGGGGGCTTCCCCCGGAGCGCCGGCGACTGGAACTGCCCCAGCTGCGGCGACCTGAACTTCGCCCGCAACATGGCCTGCAGGAAGTGCGGGACGCCGAACCCGAGCCCCACCGGAGGAGCTCGGGGAAGAAGAATTGGCATCAGCATTAAATTTTTGGACATTCGCGCTGATTTCTTGGATCGGCGCTGGACCCGCTTCCCTGGCGCGCGGAGCGCGCCATGGGGTGGCGCCAGAGGCCTTGCCGGGGGGCTCCCGCGCCGATGCAAGAAATCCGCGCGGAGCTCCGAAAATTTGTGTTGTGCAGCTTCTTCTTGTTCCAGGAATGTTCCCCCACAGTGCCGGCGACTGGAACTGCCCCAGCTGCAACGACCTGAACTTCGCCCGCAACGTCGCCTGCAGGAAGTGCGGGACGCCGAAGCCGATGTGAGCAGGAGGTGACCCGCGCGATCGGCGCCACGTGCGGCCGTTTTGGGCAAGGTGGCCCGGGCAGCGCCGTGGGTACAGTCGGGGCACTGAGGAAGGAACCCTTTTCGTTTGGGAGGGGCTCGGTGTTCCTTAGTTGTTTTGCAGTTCGCCTTTGGTTTTGCTTAGGGTTTCGATGGGAAATCGAAGTTCAACTTATGGGAAAAAGAGGCCTCGTTCCTTATTTAGGTCAACGCCCCTTCTGTAGTCGGTCTGTGCCTGAGGGGTGTGGTGTGCTGAGTTCTGGGCCTCCCGGATGGGGTCAGAGTGGATGGGGTCGGAGGATCGCGCCGCGTCGCCGATGCACCGACGATGCGGCTCGGTGTGGAGGCCCCAGCTTTCTCCACTCCGACGGCGCCGAGTCGTCGCCGACGTCGCCGAGGCATCACAGATGCGTGCCGCTGCATCGGTGATGCGGCGCGATCCTCCGGCCACACCTGCTC